TGCAGCATTAACAGTGGCTCTAGTGGGAATCCTATTTGATAACGAGAGCAGCTCAATGACAGTTTTGACGAGTGTCACAGAACGGTATCCATTGGATCCTTATAATTATGCATTCTCACATGGTACCACTAAAAAGACGTGAGCAATCATGAATCCCTTGAAAGGAGCATTGCTTCCTGAACCAGTATTTTCTGTAGGACCGGTAGCTTATAGCAATTCATCTGAACATGTTGATCATTGCAGAGAACATGCAATGTATACAGCAAAGCCTGTCCTATGCTTTCACCAGCATTTAACAAAACAATTTCTCGGAGTGAAAATGCAGAAAGGAGAAGCATGCCTTCTCTTTCCATAGACAATGGCCTTTGCTTGGACCCTGCCTTCACAAAAGCCTCACTGAATTTGTGGTACGCACCGAGATCGGGGTCATTTCAGATCAGCTCGGGTGTAGACTCCCCACAGGACAGGTTGGAACTTTTCTGCCAGAAACGGGAGTTTGGGGGGGTGAGTGGAAAATGAGGTTTCTGCCAAAACAACAGTTTAAAAATGCCAGTTTTTCATTTAAAAAAACAAACAAACCCTGAAACATTTTTGACTAAAAATTAACATTTTGAATATTTAGTTGTTCAAAGAAAAACGCTTTTCATTCACAAAGAAAGGTCCTCACTCTAATTACCTAGGGACCCTTATTAGCACCATAATCTTTGGCTGCTTACCTACCCACGCAACACTCATTTTCAGTGGTTGAATTGAAAAGGTTATACTTTTACTTGCAAAAGCTTTGTGTAATGGGGAGACTCCCTCAGACCCGTATCAAACTGGTTATATCCCTTTCGCTTCTGACTGTCAACCTACCAGCCACAAGTTATTCCAGTAAGTGTGCTTTAAATTAATAAGAAAATATTTGCATACACCGTGCCACTTATTTAATGAGTTTTGTATAAAAAAAATCACACCTTTAAATTTGTACAGCTCTGCCTAAAACATGAATAGTGTTCACAACAACAACCAAAAACACGTTGGCTTTAGGAAGAGACGAAAATCAAGACTGTCAGGGTCACTTAATGATCTAGAACCTAAAAATGACTCCCTGTCTTTTCTGCGTGACAAACTTTGCAGATGCATTCTCCATAGCCCCAGAGGAAATCTAGTGATTTTGGGGCTGAGCAAAGCCAGTGCTGTAAAGCACAGCTGCATTATAGACAGGACAAGCAGTGACTCCTAGAGTTAAGGCTGCCCAAAACTTTTTTTCCATAATAAGACTTTGCTTCCTGATGCTTAAAACTTTGCCAAAAAGATGGAATTTGTCCTTGCTGTGTGTCTACCTGTACACAACCATCTGGGACATGGCAATAAATATGGTTCAGAGTGAGGTTAAATAGCAATCCATTGGTTCTGCCTATATTCCTTCATTATTGAAGGCAGGCCAGGTGCTTTGAATAGATGCGATCTCTTTTATTAGACCAACTGAGTCGTTAGAAAAAAGATCTTAGCAAGCTTTTGGGCGCAATCACCCTTCGTCAGGCACAGGGAGTCTCTGCTGATATCCAACAAGGCTCCAAGGAATAATTATAATGATTATTGAATAATAATAATTATTATCGAAGGAATAATAATTATTATTGAAGGAAACTGAAAAGGAGATCAGGCCTGGAAGTGACTGAAAGACCAGTGCCTATATAACAGCTGATGACTGTTTTTCTGCAAAGCTCTGACGTCTCCAAACTTTGGAGCAAGGAGTTGGCATTTAGCAAGGGATTGGCTTTGTGCAGATGGGAGGGGCAGGGAAATGTTTGTTCTTTCCGTGAACATCCGAGCAAATGCAGCAATGTTATGAGCTGCTTAAAATTTCCCTTCAAGCACTGTTAGGGTTAGAGCCTGGCAGCTACATGCATCAGAGGTCCAGGGCTGCTCCATGCCAGGGCGACAGGGGCTGCAATTGCCCCCCAGTAGCATGACACCTGCCCAGGAACTGAGAATAGGGGTTGGTCCCAGGCACAGATGAGACAGAGCAAAAAAGGAAAGAAAAGGGAAGAGCTGGATTTGGGCGGTGAGGGAGGAGATTGGGATGAGCAGCCACTAGGTTGAAAACTGGGGTGAAGAACTGAGATGAGGATGGGACTGGGATGTGGATGAGACTAGGATGAAGGGCAGAGGTGGAGACTGAGCCTGAAACAAGGAGCTGGTGGAGGGCTGGGTGTGAGTCTGGGGGATGAATGAGAGACAAGAACCCAAAGTTGGTACTGGGGCTATAAGTGGGCCGGTTGGTTACTGGGAAAGGACCCAAGTGTACAAGACTGGGACTGGGATGTATAAGTGAGGAACTGAAGGAAATTCAGATGAGGAGCTCTGCAGGTTGGAAGGAGGGAACAGGATAGCAGCAAAGGTAAGCCCAGTATAGATACCGACCCACCAACTGTTCGAGCTGACCTAGTAACGGGGCACCTGGAGGGGTTGAATGTGTTTAAGTCACCAGGTGCTCATGATTTCATCCTAGGGTGCTTAGGGAACTAGCTGGAGTCATAGTAGAGCCACTGGCACAACAGTTTGAGCACTCGTGGCGCTCAGGACAGGTCCTGGAGGATTGGAAAAGGGCCAATGTGGTCCTTATTTTCAAGAAGTGGAGGAAGGAGGAACCGGGTAGCTATAGGCTGGTTAGTCTTACCTGTATCCTTGGCAAAACCTTTGAGAAAATTGTTAATGATCACATTTGTGGGGGACCAGCAGGTAAAATAATGCTAAGGGGCAATCAGCATGGGTTCACAGCAGGCAAATCCTGCCTATTTTTTTTTTTTTATTATTATTATTATTTTTTATTTCTAATCCGGTTTCATTTTACAACCGGGTCACAAAATGCTTGGATGAAGGAAGAGAGGTAGATGTTATCTACTTAGATTTTAAAAAGGCCTTTGACACAGCGTGGCACCCAATTCTTATAAATAAACTAAGCAGTTGCAATACAGATTATTACACGATCCAGTGGGTAGAAAACTGGCTTATGGGACGTACCTAGGGAACGGTGGTGGACGGGCTGGTCTCTACCTGGAGAAATGTGGGCAGCGGAGTCCCCCAGGGTGCTGTCCTCGGACCGGTACTATTCAATATCTTCATTAGTGACTTGGACGAGGGAGTAGAAAGCACCCTGTCCAAGTTTGCTGATGACATCAAACTATGGGGGGAAGTACATAGACTAGACAGCAGGGAGTGAATCTAGGTGGATTTGGACAGGCTGGGGAAATGGGCTGAACAGAAGAGGATGCAGTTTAACAAGGACAAATGTCATGTGCTGCACCTGGGGAGGATGAATCATTCACACTCCTACAGCCTGGGAGGGACCAGTCTAAGGAGCACAACTGCAGAAAGGGATCTTGGAGTCATAGTTGACTCCAAAATGAACATGAGTCACCAGTGCAAGGAGGTAATAAGTAAAGCTAACTGCACCCTTTTGTGCATAAGTAGGTGCATCACAAACAGGTCCAGGGAGGTGATCCTCCCCCTGTATGCGGCACTGGTCAGGCCGCAGCTGGAGCACTGCGTCCAGTTCTGGGCACCGCACTTCAGGAGGGATGTGGACAGCATGGAGAGGGTCCAGAGGAGGCCACTCATCCGGTTAAAGGCCTACAGAAAAAAACCTATGAGGACCGATTGGGAGACCTGAACCTCTTCAGTCCCCACAAGAGGAGGCTGAGAGGTGATCTCATGGCCACCTACAAACTCATTAGGGGCAAGAAATAGGGGATACAATGTTTACCAGGGCACCTGTCAGGGTCACTAGAAATAATGGCCACGAGCAAATTCAGACTGGACATCAGGAGAAAATTCCTTTGCCAAAATATGGAATAGGCTTCCAAGGGAGGTGGTGTTGTCTCCTTGGAGGCATTTAAAAGGAGATTGGACAGACACCTGGCTGGGGTCATCTGACCCCAGCGCTCTTTCCTGCCCAGGGCAGGGGGTCGGACTCGATGATCTCATAGGTCCAGTCCAACCCGAACATCTATGACACTAGGAAAGGCAGTGGAGACTGGAACATGGGCCTGAGGGTGGACTAGGCTTGGGGCTTAGAAGTGGAGCCCAGGTGGGGCCAGCCCAGGACTCGGGACCTGATGGAGTGTGGAGGGGAGACTGGGACCAGTACAAACTCGAGGGTACAGAGGTGGAAAGCCTTGTAACTGCTGGACATCCTCCTCCTCGAAAGCGTTTGAAGCCCCCCATCAACCTCCCCCTGCCAACTGTGACCAGCAAAACAAAGCCCCAAAGCAAAGGATCCATTCAATGGAGGGGGGAAAACAGCTTCCAGGCTCCTCGAGACAACCCTGATGCCCAAGAGTACCAGCTACTCCCAAAAGCATTAATACTGCAAAATCAAGCCTTCAAAAAAATAGAAAGTGCCTTAAGAAAATCCGTGCCACTCAAATTTGGCTCCCTTTAACTTAACTACCTGCTCACACTTTTTTTTTTCAGAGTACCCCTGCCTCCACCATTGCATGGGGAGGACGGCATTAACAGGGGCTCCTGGTTTTCTCTGATAAAAAAAATCCAAATTTTTTCTGATTTACAAAACACAACTAAAAATGAAAATCCACATTTTTATATATAGTGGTGTTTCATTTTAATCATGGAAAAATATATAGTGGTGTTTCGTTTTAATCATGGAAAAATATATAGTGGCCTTTCGTTTTAATCACGGAAAAATGTAAATTGGGGGGGAGGGATTTAAATCCGAAAATTTTGGATTTTTTTTTAATTTGAGAAATCATAACCAACAACTGAATATATCTCTATCTCCTCATTTTTCTTACAGATCCCCCTAATGAACCTCATCTTCCATAGTCGTGGACACTTGTTGCAGCTCATTTGCTCCCAGGTCCTGCAGCAGCCTGGAGTTTTCTTTCTGGGAAGTGATGTTGCTTGTAGCCTGTGATGCTCCTTAAAGCCTGTGTTGCTTTAAGGCCTCTCCTGATTTACCTGTCAATCAGCTTCGGAGACTGCCTCTTTGTGCAGCATTGGCTGAAGCTGCCTCACAAAGCAAGAGGCAAGAGGCTTGGCAGCGTGTGCAAGCTGGAAGAACATGATCTCTGCGCTGGAAAGCGTGTTAAAGACCACCTTGTCCTGGCTGCATGTGGACGTTTACCGGGTTTTTCACCTGGCCACTGTGTTCTGCCTGACATGCTTGTTGCTAAAAGCTGGCCAGCTGTATTATCGGAGGCAGGAGTTGCTCAGAGTTTTTGCCAGTTTCCCAGGCCATGCGACCCACTGGCTGTACGGCCATACCCACCTGGTAAGAAAACAGCATCCCTTGGGGAAGGCGATCTTTAAAAATGAATGAAACGGGGAGCAGGAGGGTGTTGTAATGTGTGTGCTTGCGTCACTGATGATGTTGCTTTGATTTTGCGGGAAGGAGGTTGCTGATGCCGTGATCCGCGAGAAAATTCTCTCCTCGGAGCGTAGGACAATCTTAATTTTTTTGTGTGACCATGTATCTCATTCGTATTAAGCCATACGCCATGCTTCCTCGACCTTCGTTAGCCAGGGATGCTGTGTAAAGAGCAAAATTCACAACAAAGAGGTAATTTTCAGTTGGGGGTCAAGGCGGGGTATGCTTGTTATATAGGGTTATGAGCCGGCTGGGGTAAGGCAGCATAGATCTACTGAAATCAATGCTGCATTATACCCGCTGAGGCTCTGGTCCCACGTTTCTTTGGCTTTGAATAAGCAAAAAGCAAAGAACAAAGCCACTGCAGCATTTTCCAGTATTTCCAGCTGTGCAAAGACACCGTGTTTGAAAGTGCTCCTGGTTTCTGCTCATTAATGGTGCCAAAGTTCAAGGGTGTGCTGTTATCTCTGTTGTGGAAGCAAAGTTTATACCCTTGCCAAATGAAATATTTGATACAGCACTGTGCCTATGCGTGCTCCGGTGCTCGCCAGCCAAGGCTGCAGTCCTCCAAGGGGATCGCCGCATATTTCTCTCCATGTGAAAAAAAAGAAGGCAAAAGAGGGGGGAAAAAAAATCAAAGATACAGAAACAAGAACCACACACAAGATCCTGGCATGATTAAAACAAGAGATGCTCTGCCAGGAATTGTGAATTAAATACTGCATATGAATGCAGAATAATTATAACAGTTAGTATTTGGCTACTAGGGTGATGCATTGTCTCCAAGAAGAGTCAGTGAAGAATCTTCTGACGCCTGTGGAGACGGGGGATGTGGTTTCCTCCACAGCAGCTTTTCTCAACCTTGTTTGATTCAAGGCGCTTCTGGATAGACTCGAAACAGCCCTTGGAAAGTGCCAGCTCTTAGTTTTCACTCCTGTTTTGACTACAGAAATATAATAGAGCAGTCTTTCTGTTTACAAACAACTCAGATAGACCGCAGCTAAAGATTTCTACTCAAAATTTCTGGGTTTATCTTGTGTGCGCACCTAACAGTGCTAACAGCATGTGGCACCCTGTGGCCTCCTTAAAAGGATATATTAACAGGAGCTGGTTGAGAAACACTGCTTTAGAGAGCTGACAAGTGAGAACGGGGACCAGTTTTATGAATTTTACTGAGTTGCCAGTTAGATTTAAGAGCTGAGTTTTTTTTTTACAGTCAAATCAGCCAAATCGATTCCAAATACAGGCGAATCATTTGAGAGCTGAAATCCAAGCTTGGTTTGCCAATTTGACAAACATTATGCTCAGTGCTGGCTTGGAAATTCAGCTAAGGTACCCTCTCCCAATCGAATCCGGAGAACATCTGCTCGCTATTTTACGGCGAGGTTCTTTTCCACCCAGCTTTTTCCTTAGAAAAATATTTCTCGGATCAGGACGCTTGGTGTTCTGAATCAATCAACACTTGCTTAATTCTCCCCAAACTATTCATTTTGAGCGTGATGGTTATCAATTCTTTAGTATCTTTAGTACATCTGTTACTCTTCAAGTCATTCTCTCAGGAGTCAAGTTGTATTTAAGTCACTTATCTGCTTATGTCCCTGCGATGAAATGGACTAGTTTAAAAGAGCAATTGGTGCAACTTATTAAATCTCTCCAGGCCAGTTGGGTTTATCAGGGAGGAAGTTACAACCTGAGATAAAATCTGAAGTATGAGATTTTTCTAGAAAGTGTATAGACTCAATAAAAGTTTGAGTTTAGGCTCTATACAGTACTTTAGGTTATAAAGGCTATATATAATACTATAGAGCAACAGACTATATGGAAACTCAACAGGAATTGGGACATAAGAATCACACAGCTTATCCGTGGTTCTTTAGACAAGGTGTCTCACAGGATGTGAATGATTGTCTTCCAGTTACATCCAGTGAAGGATTTAGGTGTCTAAGGGCGCATCTACATGTGCATTTAAGCACAGCTAAATTTAATGTGCATTAAGCGATTTTTGGCAGGTGTCTACACATGCAGAACGTTGGCACTAAAGTTAGTGCCAAGTCCCTGCAGCCCTGCCATGTGCCTCTAGTGGCTGGGCAGACCCAGCACTAAAGTTAGTGCTGGGCCGCATCTACATGTGCATTAATGGGCTTTAATTAATCGCACCTCAGCAGGTATCAAATTTAGGCAACAAGTAGCTTAATTTCACCATTTTTAATGTGCATTAAGGGCACACGTAGGCACGTGCTCTTAATGTGCATTAAGTTAGGCTAATGCACATCAACGTGTCTCATGTAGATATCCCCAAAAGTTACTGCTTGGCCCCTGGTGTGAAATCCAGATTCCTAAGTGAGGGGCTTAGGCTCCCTTTGCTTTCCATGGGGAGAGTTCATTGCCTCAGTGTTGGATCCAAAACAGCCGGCCTGGCCCCCAAGCAGGGAGCTGCCTTCAGCTGGTCAAGATGAAACTGAGGAGAGGGGTCTGCATGAAATCCCAAACCTCTCCAGTCTGTCTTAGTCAGGGCAGAGGGGAGGCACCTTATGCGTGAACAAGGCTCTCTCTCCCTTTAAAGCACACCCGCACAGAAGGAGCTGGTGATAGCGCTCTCGTTTTAATTAATGCTTAGCTGCTACAGGGTTTGCTCAGGAAGCAGGAGCCCTGGGTCCAAGTGCCTCCTCCAGCACATCTCCCAGGAATGCCCTTGCTGCCTGGCTGTCTGGGACTCCGCACGGGAGCACTCTCTGTGTGGGACCACTTTCCACGTTTCCTAGGGAAGTTGTTCCCGTGGGCAGCAAAGAATTCAAAATACTCTATTAGGAGGGGGGAGGGAGAGAATTGTAGGAGGAGGCAGGATATTGCAGCCTAATGGGTGGGACACTCACTGGGAGATGTGAATCCTGGGGTCTGGTCTCTGTCCCCAAGAGGGTTTCCCCTCAAACAATCATGGAACAAAATACAGAGAGGAGAGACTGGCAGTAAACTAACTTCTGTGTTTAACTTACTTGTATGAAACACAACTGGAACCCATAGCCCTGAATGAATCCTTTTGTTTGACACAACACTAGACCTCTTATTTCCAGCGATCCTTTGTGATAGACTATTCCATTGTCTGGCTCCCCTCCTGCCAACAGAGCAAGACCAAGCTGAACTCTTTTAGTGAATGAGCTTTACTTGGGGGAAAGCAATCCTTTGTTTTCTGCCTCATTTATTCCTACTGACCCAGAAGTATTCACTCAGTGGCAAGCTAGTTATGTTGGGAGCACTTTTAAGACACGTTGAGCAATCCAACACCAATCTGCATATATCAGGTGTGGTCGTGATGACACAGATTAGCATGTCGACCAGTTTACCAACTGTTTAGCTACTCTTTTGGCTGGAAGGCTGCAAACAGCATGGCCTACTTTGAATTGCAGGAGAGTGTACTATGCAGAAAGCTGAACATTTTTCAATCTGTAGCTTTTCTCAGTATGCCTCTGAATAGCTGTTTAAGTACTTTCAGGGCACTGACATTTTGCTATCAGGGACCTTTCCATTGCTTAGTCTGTCCAATGTCTCCCTCAGCTGCCCTTTCAGTGGCAGACCATTGAATTTTCTATGGATCAGGAGTAGGAAGTGAGTATACTAAATAGTTCCCCTGTTTCTTGCTGGGCTGGCTTTGTTTATTATGGATATATGACAGATATTGCACTGCGATCTTTGGGTGTCAAATATGCTTTGAATAGATGATTAGTACCCAAAAGCTCCTTTTCTCTCACTTAATTAAGAAGCTTTTGCTCTATTCCCCTCTGAAGGACACAAGATAAAGTTGTGAGATACACCTTGTACACCCCTCTGCTGTTTGTTAGAAAGAGATGAATAGTCATCTGCACTGGAGACACCTTGTCTAAAGAAACTTCATTGTATGAGAAATAGGATATTTGATGCTTAGGAGGAATCTATTATTAGTTGCAGGATAAGCACCTCTCAGAATTATATAGGGGTGTAAGCTCTCTCTCTCCCTTTATCTAACCACAAAGACCCTGCCAAAGCAAACTTGCTCGTTTACCTGTGCACAATGGTCCCTTATGCTCTGGGAGTTGAGAAGTGTTTCAGAATCATGTATGCACCCAGCGGGCTTCAAACATCTGGTCCCGTGCTGCCCGGCTTTGGGTGTGTAAGCTCGCCCGTCACTCCGTCCCTGAGGTGGTATAGCCCGGATGTGTTGCCCTGGGGTAGCCTCACCCCCAATCTCACTTGCCATGACTTTGCTCGTCCTTTCAGTGGTGGGGTCGACTACTAGGGCATCTCCGGAGTCGGGAACCTTGGGGCGATGGTCTTCTGCGAGGCTCCAACCTCCCCTACACCTCGCCCTAATACCCAGCCTCGCCGAGTTGATGTTTCCGGGCCCAACCCTCACCTCTTGATGTGATGGGCCCTCTGCTACAGATATGAAGCTCTATCCTGACCCCGAATCAAGCTGATTAGGAGACCCTCTACAGCCTTCCTCCCTACCCCTCCAAAAGTGGGAAACAGAACAACGAAAAATTAAGAAAATACTTCCTGCAGCCCCTCTCGCTGCTTAAGCTCTCTGCTCCCCGTCTGGGTAGACTCCAGGAGCCTTCCCAAACCCGTGCCAATCCCACCTGGATTGCAGGGTCGCCTTCAGTCACCTTCTCTTCAGGGCCGCCCCTGCTGTCGGCTTCTTCATCTGGAGTCCTTGGATTTTCTCCCTTGGCTCCGTCGCTGCGAATCAGGGCATCCGCTGCCTCACCACTGGCGTCCTCCCTCTGGCAGCCTCGGGGTAGCCTCTTGCCTCGTGGAGAGTCGTCTGGATCCTCCTCACCTCGGAACAGGGCTCCAAAGGCACCTCTGCTGGCAGCTCCGGCTCTCTCCCCCTTCTTCTTCCCTTGGCTTGCTTTTTATTGTCCCGTGCCGGCTCTGCTTGTGATTAACTGCAGCTGGCTGCAGTTTCAAAAAGACGTGGCTAGTCAGCTGCACAGGTCCCGCTGCCTCTTCTGGTCTCGCCACGGCGTCAGCTGCAGGTTAGGGAATCTCCGTTTCTTTCTTGCTTCCCTCACCTTCCCTGTTGTGTTTTGGGTCCCGGGACTCCCCCTTGGCCCCTCGGGGTCCATTCTCTGTAGTTTCCCTGTGACAATGTAAAAAAGTAAAACTATTGCTTACCGTGTGATCCCAGAAAGTTAAACTTCCAGAGGTCAAACTTAGGCTAGAAATAGATGTTGCCAAATGAAATAGATTGACGGATGCGCTTTGTTGGGTGACGTGCATGTTGCTCATTGTCCTACCCTTGATGGTGTGGAAGAAGAGGTGATATGATCTCTCCCACTCCCCCTGATCACGGGCAGGTGCTCTGGGGGCTTACGGGACCTTCAAGCCCCTAGACCACCTGTTTGAGGTATCTGGAGAGTAGAAGCAGCTCAGGCTGTTCCTACTCTCTTGCCACAGAGCTAATAGATATCTGCCACAATAAAGTGGACTAGTCTGTTACTACCTTTTGTCATACTACTGTTGATATGGCATGATGAAGTGTAGTGACTGCTGTTTGCTCACAATTTGTGCCACCATAAAATTTGTTATGGTAACACAAATGAGACATCAGGCGAGGTGTGTTTCCACCTTTATTGATCCCACAATAGGTTCAAATAGAGACCTCATCCAGCAGGGGGATCACTGCCAGCTGCCCCACTGGTGGATGAGGGCAGGGGGTTGGGATCTGCCCTTCTCCCCAGGTCTTTCCAAGCTCCCTGCCCCCGATTGGGAAGCTGGGGCTGGAAGCTCCCTGCTGCTGGGGCAGGGGGACATTGTCCCCACTGGGGATCTGCCACCGGGGTCCTTACCAGCAGCAGGCAGCTCCCAGGGTCAGGGAGCAATTTCCCAGCTCCCACCAGGAGACAGCTGTCGTTTGGCCCCATGCTCCCTCCCAGCCCCTGGGTTGCACCCACAGGGAGCCAGAGCAGGATGGGAGCAGCCCTCTCCCAGCTGCTCTCATTGGGAGCAAATCTGCTCCTAAATCCATGCACGTGTAGATGCCTGCCGAGGTAAATTACTCTGGAGTAAACCCATCCAGCAGCAATTGCACATGTAGATGCGCCCACTGAGTCTGTGATCCACCAAAACCCCTATCTTTTTCTCAGCAGTGCTGCCACCCAGCCTATCATCTCCTATACGGTAATTGTACTTTTGATTATTCTTCCCTGGCACCTTATGTTTGTCCGCATTGAACTTCATTTGGTTGTCTCTAGTCCAGGTTTCCACATTATCAAGATTGTCACTGGTAGGTGTTATAGGGCTTTGGCCCTTTCTTGCTTGGCACCTCGCTCCCCAGCGATGTCAGGGTGATATTCAAATTTGGCACCACCAAGATGGTTCGGGTGCTGCTCCTACTCTCCTGCCACGTCTTTGATGTTCATTTCTTTTTTCTTGGGAGGCAGTTCCCTGTAGGTGGCCCAAGGAGATCTCAACCTTGGGTTTCTTCGTGGGGCTCCAACTTCCTCTTTACCCTACCCTCACCACATCCACGGCCAGGGGCAGACTCTGCTCTCTGCAGGTGTTACACTGGGATGATCTTGTCTCATGCTCGCCTCCTGCCTCCACGGGTTGGATAGTCTTGGCCGTCATTCCTCCCAAGGCTGTCCTTCGTCTTTGGACTGTGATCTGGGCAACTAAACATGCCCTGATCTGGGGTTAACTGTAACTTGGAGGAAAACTGAACATAAGAGGTCAGCGCCCGCTGACGGGCTCCTGGGATCTTGTCTCCCAGGGACCTTTGGCCTTACCGAGGACTCCACCATCCCTTTCTGCCTAGTAGAGGTTTGGAAAGGTCGGCCGCCCTGTGTCAGGCCCCTGCTGGCCCTCTCGGGCAGGCCCTTTAGGTCCATGTCCCTTAATCTTCGAGTCTGCCTAACCTGTGGCTAGGCTGTTTGGGTCTCCCACGCTGGGCTTCATGGTCTTCCATGCCTCCCTCCTGGCCGCGCTGCTTGAGGGTGTCAGTGGCCCCTTGCTGCCCCTCCCTGGTGCGGTATCTGGGTACTCTGGTGGGGTCGTGGCCCTTCTCCTGGGCACTCTGGGGGACTGCTTCCCTCCAGTGGAGCTCCCCAGCGTCCGCTTGCTTCTGGGGCTTGAGCTCCCTGCCTTGCCTGCCAGTGTTCTCTGGCAGATGCTCAGCCTCCTTCCCCTGAGTCCAGGGCTTGTGGTCCCCGGCTCTGCAGCCAGCGTCTCCCCGTCATCATTCCTTTCCGCTGTCCCCAGTGCCAGCTCAGCTGTGTTCCCAACTGCCTTTTGAGCAGCCTGCGCTTTGCTGAGGCCGTGCCACCGGCGCCCACCGATTCACAGGCTCAGGCAGCTCCAGAATTGCTGAGTCTCTCTCTAGCTGCTGTTTTTCTTTGCTCCTGCTGTGACTACCAGGGAGCATCGGGAGGGGCTCTGGGGTGGGTTAGGGGGGCTTTTTCCTCCCCTCTCACAAAGATCCTTCCAAATTCTACTCCTATCCTCCAGCGTGTTCATAGGCCTTCCCAGTTTTGTGTCATCTGCAAATCCTCTTGATAAATATTCAGGACTGAAACAGGGTTTTCTTAAAAGACAGGTGTCCAAACTAAGAGGTATAAATGGCTACATTTTGTGTAGTTTAGGCACAAAAGAGGGATGTGTAATATACACCAGGCATTCGGTTATGCAATCATATGTAAAGTCATTTTCCTGTTAGACCCGTTTGGTGACAAATCATTATTTTACGCAGTGTTTAATAACAACCAACCCACCCAGCCCCACCCAGCCCACACGGAAACATGTGCCTGACTTGCAGTAGAACCTGCTGAGCCTGGATCAGCCTTGGCAGCCATCTTTTGACCCACAGACAAAGCAATCATGGAAGATAATCATCCTCGACTGTGATGAACGACAACCATTATCTGCTGGGAGAGCAAGTAAATTCTGAGGAACCATGCACTCTTTGTAATGGTCATGTCCTAAAAATGTTGCCCTTCAGTTGACCGTAGAAAGGTTACCTTGAGCTTGTTGGGACAGTTGTTAACAGCTATTATAATTTTCTTCTCTCCCTTCCCCTCCACTCTTGCAGTTTAAAAAAGAAGAGCAGACATTGGACACGGTGGAGGCCTGGAACCTAAAGTACCCTGATGCTTTCCCTCTGTGGTTTGGAAGCTTCGTAGCATACTTGAGCGTCAGCCATCCTGAATATGCTAAGATTTTATTGACAAGAGCAGGTAAGGGATGGCATAGCTGACTTCTGTATGACATGATTGCGAAGTAAAAACACTAAGCATAAGTTTCCAGGCAGTTATCTATTCACAGCAAAGCGATACTGTACAGCTGTATTATTCCAAAGAAATCCTTGGCCCTTATACCCTCCTGTATGCAACAGTTGGCTAGTCACAAGGTTGTCCACAGCCATAGGCTGCTACCAGCTTTGAAGTTCTGCTGGATGGTTTAAGACCATGAAACAGCTTGCTGGCTTTAAAAGCTGGATACCAGTTTTTCATTTTTTCCCCCCAGTACCTTGGTTGCGAAGCAAAACTTTGAGGTGCTTCAGGAAACTTACAGTGATAAAGCCCACTGAAATCGTTTGCCCTCACTTACGATAGCCATAGAGTAATACTGTATCTTCTCACATACAGCATGCCTCAAATAAATTATACACCTTGTTTTTGAAAGGCAGAATGAAGAAATGAGCTTCTTCCAGAGTTATGGTTGCACAGAGCTGGGACAGAACTTAACCTTCAGCTGACTTACTCTCCCTTTTCTGCTCAACTGAAGCTGAATTCCTGACTGCTGGTGAAAACTGGTCTCCATGGGTGGGTCTATGAGCACTTTTACATGTGCTCTGGGGGTGGGGAGCAGCACTTTAGACTGTGGCTCTTGGAGCTACTCTAATTAATTGAAGTGCTACCACGTTTCCTGTATCAGCATCCCTGCACTTAAAAATGGTGGTGGGGTGCCTGAACGAAAGCTTGTTTGATGCACTCTAGCAGACTCAGTTAACTGTCTGCTCTGACGTGCTGGTACTCCAGTGCAAAAGAAGCTTGCCAAGAAGAATTTTTCCAACTATTTGAGTTGGTCTAATAAAAGATACCAGATTTACCCAAAGAACCTTATCTGCCTAAGAAAAGTTAACTTGATTAATGAACCATCAAGACCTTTATAAAGGAGATGATCAGGTCCTGTCCCCCTGCTCTTAGCCAGGAAAGACTGCTGGGGGGAAGGGGGTTGGACCTGATGATCTCATGAGGCCCCTTCCAGCCCCTAACTTCTATGAATATTGGGGTGCATGTATTTAGCAAGGAAGGGGACTTTCCTGCCCAGATGTGCAAGCACTTTGGGTCCATTCCTGCTCTACGGTGCAGCAGCTGTGGATTACTGTTGTTCAGGCACTGGAGGGAGTTAATTGACATAATGGCGCATTGTTCTTCACTCTACAGGTGTTCACGATCCTTTCCTTTATAAAGGTCTCGATGTTTCATTAATCAAGTTAACATTTCTTAGGGCACTTTTGCCATCTGCGAGCTACTCCCCATCCCTCTGGCACAGCCTCTTTAGCTCTTTACAAAATCATAGGGTGCCTATATAGGAGAGGCTGATTTTTGAGGGAAAAGGTGTGTATTGTTTGTGAGAAAATAAAGTCTATCTAACACGCCCAGGTAGAAATGTGGAGACAGCTGATGCATTTTAGGACTGAATAGCTTTCACTGTTCCTATTTAGATATAGACTAACAGTTTCCTCTGTTATTCCGGCCTGGCATCTTTCATGCAGGAACTTCCCAACGGTGCTGAACTGCCAGGTAGTCTTGATTCACAAAGTAGAAATGCCACTGATTCCACTTCACTCCAAAGATTGCATCAAATAATTATTCTTGGAAGTGCAAACCAGTAGAACAGCATTAATAAAGTACTGCTTCCTTCTCTCTTTCTCAACTGACTTTTACAGATCCCAAGGATAATATGAGTTATAAGCACTTAATTCCATGGATCGGTACGTATATTTGCCATCTTGTTCATATTCTCCATCAGAAATGTTTCTGAGGTTTGTCAAGAAAAATAGATAGCATATAAATAGCCAATATGGCAATGTCTATTCCATGATGTACAGAGGGGGCCATAAGCTTTCTGAAATCACCATATTAGCTGTGTGTATCAAGAAAAATTAGAGTAGATGAGGTTCATTGCACATCTGCAGAAGGGGATATGCTGCTAGCTCATATGGGTAAGCAATTCTATTACATACTTTTAATCCAGGTAGGGCTGGCAATTGGAGAGGCTTTATGCTTCACTGCACAGCAAAAGCCAACAATTTAGCTGCTTGTCTGAATTTCTTAAGTCTAGAAATCTGGCTATGAATTTTGCAAGAACAAGCGTCTTACCGAGTTGGAAGCTAGGTCTAATCAGGAGCTCCGTTGTTTCTGCACATCCACTTCAAGGAACGGATGCATTCAGAGAAGCCTGAACCTGAGCAGCTGCTAAAAGCTAGTTTAACTCTTGGAGTGAAATTACAGGTTGCAATTAGCTCTCATTAAGGGTGCTTAAAACAATCTTGAAAGTGCTTAAAACTTGAAAGACTGTTTGTTCAGGCTCATTAACTGATGCCCTTTGGGTATCTTAAAGTTACACCACTTCACTAGAGGATTATCAATCATCGATTGGCATTAGCTAGCTAGTTGCAAGCAAACTTCTGAGCAGTCCGCTGACATAAAGCAACCAATTTGGAGTCCTCCAGCATCCCAGGATGCTCTGTTCCCTACCTTTCCCTGCTCCAAAGACACACTTTCTACCCTCCTGAACTCTGCGGCAGCTGAGGATCCCCAAGAGTGAACCATGGAGGACTGGGGGGGGCTCCTTAGCAACCCCCCTACCCCAGACAGCCTGCATGGCATGCAGGAGGGAACTGCAGGCAGGCTCCACATCCCCCACTTGCAGCCCCACCACCAGACATTTGCCAACCCCTCCTGCTGAATCCTCCTCGCAGCCTATTCTGGCCTCCCCCAGCCTCAAGCCAAATGGGGCTAGCTTGGGTTCGGGTAGAGCCCCGCAGAACTTAGCCCTCTCCCACCCCCCAGGATTTATTGAAGTAAGAGTCTAGGGCAGTGGTTTTCAATCTGCCCTAGGGTCTGCAGACTATGCCTAAGGGGTCTGCAAAAGATGACTGTAATCAATCAAAAGTATATGAATACCTATGCTTACAATTCAAAGGGGTCTACACCTCCATGCAACATTTTTTAGAGATCCAAAAATGAAAAAAGGGTTAAAACCACTGGTCTAGAGTCTTTTTTTTTTTTTCTCTCTCATTTAACTTCAGTCCAGTAAAAATGCTTCTAAATAACTAACCTTTACATGATGCCTATATCTTTCCAACTCCTGACATGCTTCTGCCCCTCTTACTTCCTCCCCTGAGCAGGGACAGCCCAGGCATTGGGGCTCAGACATGCCCCTACTCGCCAGCCCTCTAATGGCAAGTCTAAGCAGTGCATGGGAGAGGGTATTAATTCTTCATGTGGCATTGATCCTTAGCTCATGATAATAACCTTCTCACCAACCAACATTGCTTACTGTTAGCACTTGCAAATTTGAACATGTAATCTCAGCCTTACTAGCCAGAGGATTTTACTTGAGGTTAGGAGTGAAGGTTCAGAAAGGTTCTCATTTCTTTTACATGCAAGCCATGTATCCACAGTAAAGCCATCACCTGGAGCATATACCTCTCTAATCATGGTGAAATTTGATACGGAGAACAATCTGGTTACTGTAGATCAAAGCTTTACCTATACCACTCAAAAACCCTCTGACTGTCATCTTGAAGATCTGAATTTAATTGCTTGTGTTTCCCCAGGGAAAGGATTACTGGTCTTACATGGTCCAAAGTGGTACCAGCATCGTAAACTTCTGACACCAGGGTTTCATTACGATCTGTTGAAACCTTATGTGCTGTTGGTTGCAGACTCTACTAAAGTGATGCTGGTAGGAATTATCCTGGGTATCCCGTATGTTAATATCCTATACTTGTTTCTGATGAGTTCAAGACAAAGTATTAGTCCGTAATATTCTTGCCGGACTCATGTTAGAAGCCAACTGGAGAAATGAGGGCTTGATAAAATTGCTACAAAGTGGACAGATAATTGGCTCAATAAATGCAATCAAAGGGTAATTGTAACTGGATCAAGAGCAGAATGGTAGCCAGTTTCAAGTGGGGTTCTACAGGGGTTTGTCCTGGGTCGATGCTATTTAACATATTCATTAATGATTTGGATGCTGGCATACAGAGCTTCCTGAGCAAATTTGCAAATGAAACAAAACTGAGATAGACTGTAAACACTTTGGAGGATGGGAGTAGAGTTCAGAGGGGTCTTGACAGGTTGGAAAGCTGGGATAGGGACTCCAGGATGGAGGTCAACACAGACCACTGTAAGGTGCTTCCCCCAGGGAAGAATAACCAGAAGCCTAAATACAGAATGGGAGATAACTGGCTGGGTGGCAGCATTATTGGGGCTTCTAGGGTTTTGGTGGCTCATGATTCAACATGAATAGGATACAGTTGTAAAAAAAAAAAAAAAGCAAAAGTAATTTTGGGCTGCATCAGTTGGAGCATTAGGTGCAAGACAGGAGGTGATAATACCACTTAGCCTGGTGCTGTTTATTCCTCACCTGCAGTTTTGTATGTAGTTCTGGTCTCCACATTTTAAGAAGGATGCAAAGACATTAACAACAGTCCAGAGAAGGGTGATGAAATGATAAATGGCTTGGAAGCTGTATGAGGAAGGGTTCAGAGAACTAGGCATGTTTCACCTGCAGAAAAAGCAATGAAGGTTCAATTCCTGCTCTACGGGAGCGTGATAGTCTTCACGTCTCAAAGACTTCTGTAAAGAGGAGGGAGAATAATTGTTCTCCCTCGCTGCAGAGGGTATAACAAGAAGCAATGACTACAAGTTGCAGCAAAGTAGATTTAGAGTAGATACCAGGGGGGAAAAAAAAAAGCTTTGCTACTGTGATAATGATGAGGCACTGGATGACATACTAGGGATCGGATGAAGGACCTTCACCACTGAAAGCATGTGTACATCTGGAGTTGAGGAGCTGTCCTCTAGATGGGAGCTGTCACAGATCTACATCATCTGCGAGTTAGGGCTACAGGGGCCATGTAACATACTTTGACTGGAAAGCTTTATTTCCTTAATGTGGACTTTGATTGGAGTAGTAGAAGAAATCTCATGGTGTTTGGGAACAAAAACAGCCTCTGGAGCTGCTGTATTTACAAAAAGAAAAGTTAGACACACCAACACTTATAAAGCTATTATTCCACTCCTCATAGGTTTAAAACCCCAAATGCTCACCAACTTTTCACTCTTATTTAACAATCGCTTACTGCCGTGCTGTGGGATATTGCAGCAAGAGAGAGAACTGATGGCAGCTTTTCAGTCTGGAGGGCAAAAATCTCCTGTGCCTTCATGGGGCTGAACAGGGGTTGAATCCAAAACCCTGCCCTCCTATGCAGCCCTAGATGCAGGGGTCGGGAGCGGATGAGGAGCAATTCTCTAGGTCAGTGGTTTTCAACCTGTGGTCCACAGATCCCTGGGGGTCCTTAGTCAATGTCTAAGGGATCCACAAAAGATGACTAGGATCAGTCACAAGTATGTGAATACCCACACTTACAATTCGAAGAGGTCTGCACCTCCATTCAAAATTTTAGGGGTCTGCAAATGAAAAAAAGGTTGAAAACCATTGCTCTAGGGTTTCCTCATCCTTGCTTGAGCAAACAAGTAGGGCATGGGAAGAGAACAGATTGGTGTGCAAATAGTCATGGCTCTTGTTTTATAGACACTTTTATGGACAAGGCTTCTACTTCACTCGGGGAAGCATTGGATCATGCGCCTCCAAGCTGGGGAAGCACTGCTAGCAGCCTGCCTGGGGGGGGTCCCGTGCCCCATCCACTGTCCCCTTCACCTTCTCCAGCTGCCAGCACACCCAGCCCCCCTCCTGACACCTTGCTGTTCTGCCCCAGGGGCAAACCAACTTATTCCTGGACAACCCCAGGTCTCCTGCTGGCCGCAGGAGCCTGTCGAAGGCAGAAGTGGTGAGGGGCCTGATCCTTTCTGTTGTGGAGCCTCCCCGCCTGCCCTGGGGCTGGGAGGCAGCAAGCTGCTAGTGGGCTGAGAAGCCCCTGAGCTGCAGGGGAGGGGCTGGTCCTTTCCTTTAGCTGGGCAGGTGCTGCCCAAGCTTGCAGGTACACAATCCCACTTCCCCGAAACCTACCCGGGCTTCTAGTACTTTGCACACCATCCCTGACAGCGTCTCCCACCACCAGCACACCCTGCTGTGCTCCTGCCGCCCGCTCCACGCTGCCCCAGGAGCAAGCCAGCCCGTTCCTGGGCAGCCCCAGGTGTCCTGGCAGGCTCTGGCACCTGCTGAAGGCAGAAGCAGCAAGGGGTTTGATCCTTTTTTTTGACAGAGACTGCCTGCCTCTTGTTTGGCTGGGGGGCAAGCTGATGGATGAATGGCTCGTGGCCATGGGAAAGGCTGGCAGGTTCTTATGAAAAAAAAAAAAAGATCGGGCCCCTTGCTGCTTCTGCCTTCAGTAGGCACCTGCAGCCACCCGGACAATGACATATATACAGCGACAGAAAAATAAAACCCTAGGTTTCAATTAAAAACTCAATTTAGCGGGCATAGAGTGAAACCCGAAGGGCTAAACCCTCGTCACGTGTACAAGTGCCCCAAGTTGGACTCCTCCCTTCCTTTTATTCCATACTGGCATCTCTCGTGTTTAATGCAGCTAATGAATTCCCCCATTTTTTTGTTGCCTAGAATAAGCAAATAGTTAAAGATGTCACCGATGTATATTTAAAATGCAAGGTCAATGCAGAATCTGCAGAGATATGCATTTCTGCACCAGAGCAGGTTCAGGGATTTTTGCTTAGCTCAAACAGTCTTTGCCTTCACATGGTCCTTTATTTTCCCAGGCACATTTGCCTCTCGGGAACATCCCCAGCACAAATCAACAGTCAATATCCTAATGTAACATAGTCTGTTCAGGGATCACTCATAGTGCTGAGTCTTCTCTAGACCTTGAGAAGGTGCCTCTGGCTTCCTGCTGCTCACTCCACTCTACAGTCTTCCTCCTCACGTGGTCTTTGATTCAGGGTCTGGGAAGAGACCAGGGGTTGGGGATAGCAGCACTATATTGTGGACCCGAAAGTCCCTGGCCCAGTGTTGCAGCCACTGGCCTAGCAACCCTCTCCCTCTTTGTCTGCTTGTCTCCTCTCCCCAGGAGCTTTTAGCTTCCTGTGGGCCGGCTAATTATCCTTTGCAGCTGGTCCACTTCTCCTAGGCAGCCTGCAATCAGTGCTTATGCCTACAGCTGGGCTGCCAACCTGCTGTTGTCCCAGCTGGGCTGTAGTCCCTGCCAACCTGCAGGCTCCTACAGCCAGGAGTTTGCAGGCTGCTGGAAGCCAACCTGCCACATGCACTCTCTCACCTCTGTCTCTATCTGGCATTAGGATAAATGGGAACAACTGATCACAGAGGACAAGTCAATGGAGCTCTTTGAAGACATCAGTTTGATGACTCTAGACAGCATCATGAAATGTGCCTTCAGTTACCAGAGCAACTGTCAGATGGACAGGTGTGTACTTTGCAGTTGGGTGCCGTATCTGTTTTTCTCCCCACCGAGGCAGAGAGGAAAGATGATTTTTGTGGTCAAAGCCCTGGACTAAGATCTGGCTTCAGTTCCCAGCTCTGCCGCAGACTCCCCGTATATTTTGGAATAAGATGTTTCATCTCACTGAGCCTCAGTTTAATTTGTAAAAGGCAGATAATGCAACCCTTTCCCCTCCTTTAGTTTCCCCTATCCATTCAGGCTGTGTGTTCCCTTAGGCAGGGACACGTATATACTCTGGATATGTATAATGCCTTGCTCTGGTCTTGAATAAGGATTCCTGCAGCTATTATACTTTAAACAATAACAATCCACTCATCCTCCAAAGGGATCTAGCTGAACATCGGGAGTCTTTATATTTTTACCCATCCATTCTGTTCTTGGTCACCGTCTTTTGCTTTCAGATCCTCATTCCCTGCCCCATGTCATATTATTTTACTATAATTATATTACTTACTATCCTATAACTGAACACACCTCAGAGATGTTACATCTGGGTAGAAACAGACATTGCTTGATGTCGCATTTATGTAGTTGTACCAATTTTTACAGCAGCACGGTGAGCAAATAGATGGACCCACCCTTTGTCATGCCACACAGAGACGAATCAGTGTCTCGACAAGAAGCAGTAATAAATTCTGCTGCTTTGCTGCTGGAGACATCATTAGTTTTGTGGTGGGAGAGTGCGGGCAGCCACGGCTGTTTGCAGTCTCGAGCCACCCTGGGCTCTGAGATATCTGCCCCTCTCTCTCTGCATAGAGAGGCACCATGGGTAATCTCAGGGCAACCCTTTAGAAATGGAGAACTTGTGTGTTCCTTGTTTATGGAGACCTGCTCCAGGGGTACGTCTCCAAAAGTGGGGAAAACCCACACAGGTCCCCGCATGCAGACCAAGGATCTGGGGAAGCTCCAGCACCTTTCTTTCCATGCCAGGACCCACTTACCCAGACCCCAGCTTTCTCCGCTTACCCAGACTGGCCCCCAGACATCCCAGGGGCAGGCCTGGCTAAGTGGGGAAACCACTGGCGAGTGACCCTGTGGTCTGTCACCAGCTGGCTCTGCACTTCCCATTTGGGGGGGCTGCCTCAGCCAAAAGAGGGGCAGACCTCAAAGTCAGCTGTCACTGCCTCCTCTTTATCCCCATCACTGCTGCTAGTTGGGTCCAAACCCCTTCTAGCCTCTGCCCTACAACCTGCAAGGCTCCTCCTAGTTCAGCTAACAGTTACACTTGTGTCCTTACTGGGTCTTGAACTCCAAACCTTCAGCTCTGCAGATAAATGAGTCTACTAGGCCTTGAAACCAGCGCTCCTAACCCACAGTGGACTAACTGCAGCAAAAACTTTTGTCAGCTCCCTGCTATGCAACATTTGCCCTTATAGCTGCACCCGTGCCACCACTGATTGGTAACATCAGCTAGGGCTGTGTGAAATTTCACTGGCTGTTTCAATTCGACACTGTTTTGACTTGTTTTGAGCTTGAAACAGTGAAATTAAATTGAAACAAAGGTCTTCGAAACAGCCTCGAAACAAAATGAGGCTAGTTGAAACTTTTCAAAAGTTTCGAAACATTTCGAGTTTCGAAGCAGCCAGCAGCGAGGTGGTGGCAGACAAGGGAGAACCAGGACTCTGCTCCCAGCAGCAGCCAGGAGCGCAGCCCTAGCTCTCTCTGTCTTCCACCGCCGGGTTGCGGGAAGCTGATCACAGTGCAGGGGAAGGGGACTGAGCCTGGGCTCAGTTCTCCTCCCAAGTGCTGCGATTGGGCTGGGGAAAGGAACCGAGCCTGATGGCTCAGTTCCCCTCCCCAGCCCTAGGATTGGGCTGGGGATGGAAAGTCAGCCCAGCTGGGCTGAGATCCCAACCCTAGCCTGACCATCATGGGAGGTCCTTATTAGCAGCATGCAGCCCTCAGAAGGGGCAGGTCAGCAACTTGCCCTTCATCCCTTCTGGCTCTAAAAGTCCATGTCTTAAAGGGACCTCGCCCTGCCATCCTGTCCCATGTCCTGCCCTCGGTAATAGTGGTGCAACTCCCTGTTATGCTTACCCAGACCCACCCCTAGGATCTCTGGGGGTGCGTTTGGGGAGCTGGGGAAACCCCAACTTTCCTTGTTTACCCAAATGGGTACACAGAGATTCATTTGGGTAATCAGGGAAGTCTGGGCAGGCACTCTCAGGGCTGGAGGGGCCCCGATCCTGCCTGGGAACACCTGGGGTTTGCAGGACCAGGTCCCTCAAGAGCTGGGACCACATGTGGCCACGTGTCCCACAGCATCACCAGGTAGGACAAAGGGGTGAGGTGTGTCTGCTGTTTCCCATGGTACATGGAGGCACAGCTGATCTGCTTCATCTGGTGATTTTTTTTAGCCTCTGAGACCAGTGCGCCGCTTCATAGACAGGTACTAAGTGTCGGTGATGTTGACTGTCGCACTCGCCAGACAGGTACAAGGAGCATCACAGCTTACAGTATATCATTTCATGAAGGCAACTCCATTCTGTTTTCTCCCAGGCACAATTCCTACACCCGAGCTGTCTACGAACTCACCTATTTGGTGCATCACAGACTCCAAATCATCCCGTATCACAGCGATTTCATCTATTGGCTCAGTCCTCAAGGCTACCAGTTCAGGAAGGCCTGCCAGATTGCACACCTCCACACAGGTATTGCTCTGCAGCTCGCACACCTCCACACAGGTATTTCTCTGCACCCTAGCTTGTGTTGTTGGGAATGTTTGGTGCACTGCATGCGGATGCTGGAGGAGCGTGTTCTATGGAGGGAACAAGCATTGTCCGACCACCAGCTGTCTCACCTGACCAACATTAAAGGTTCATATGAGTTTAGCAGCCCACAGAGCTAGTGTGGGGAAGACTCCAGCCTGGTTCAGGAAGGACTCCACTGAGGCTTGAGGGAGTAGCTCCAACAGCATGGCCCAAACACTCCTTGGCCTTGAGGCTGCACTTCAGATGCAGGCCCAGGTGCTTTCCAAAGGTGATAGCATTTCCTGGGACATGAGCACTCAGGAACTGGACTGAGACTCGCATCAGAGTTCACATCAGTTAATGAGTAACCTTCTTCAAATACCAGCTTGCTATGATGGCCTGTGACACCTCTGGCCTGGAGCCAGTGACCTTTCCCCAAAATCGAATTATGCCTGATGGTTTCTGGAGTGCAGTCAATTGGGTCAGTGGGAAGAAAAAAAAACAATGAGCAGGGCCTTTGTAGCAGATGTAGTAAGTTGGGCCATGGTGGAAGGAAGTCCCTACTCCTGGCATGATGCTTTTCTGCCAAACTTTTACTGAGGCAATAGAGGGTGAAGGCCAGAGGGAGTCCCTCTAGGATCTGGGACAGTGTGAACACTATCATACACATGTCAGAAGAGCCTCACAATTTGGAAAGCATTTAGGAACTGCTATGCTTCACCAGCTGTGGCTGTAAGCTGTATTTTACTTGCCATCTAACACAGAAAAGGTGATCCGGGAGCGGAGGGAATCACTCAAGGATGAGCAAGAAGTTGAAAAAATCCAGACGAGGCATCACTTGGACTTTCTGGACATTCTTCTCCAGGCCAAAGTGAGTATCGCGGGGATTTGTGTGCACCAAACACAACCAGGTGGAGGGCTTGTTCCCTGGTGAGGCACGAATGAAATCTGGGGAATCCTGAGGGCAGGCGGCCCAGTGGTTGAATAATGGGACAATTCTGCCTGAAATGGGGCCTTTTGGCTGAGCATGACATAAAAGGACAAGGGGAAGAGGAGCGGGGCTTTCCCATTCGAGACTGGATTGAAGGAAACCTCAATAAATATGCTGCGGGGAGCAGTCTGGCAATCGTTCTCTTCTCCCCAGCACGTACAGGATGGGAAGGACGTCCTGCCCCTTTCTAATGCGGCGGCCTTGGGGGCTATAATGAGCAGAGCAACTTGGGATTCTTACTTGAATTGGTTAGTCCAAGGCTCAACGATTGCCCCATTTATCACAGCTTTTGCCCAGCAGCATGACTGCATGTAGCATCCGTTCGTGGGTGAATTTCTGCCACTGACAGTATCCCTGGCTTGTTAGGATGAAAATGGAGCTGGATTATCTGATGAGGACATACGAGCCGAGGTGGACACGTTCATGTTTGAGGGTCATGATACCACAGCCAGCGGGATCTCCTGGCTCTTTTACTGCCTGGCCCTGCACCCTGAGCACCAGCAGAGGTGTAGGGAAGAGGTCCAGGCAGTTCTGGGAGACCGGGATACAGTTGAGTGGTGAGATCTCATATTTTTTTTTATTCGATTCCTCCCCATTGACATCATTACTGCATGCCTAATATATCCATGAGAGTGATACTCAAAAAGCCAGGGCCTAATTTTCAAAGGGGCTGAGAATACACAGCTCTCACCGACTTCACTCAATGTAGGGCAGGCTACGCTCTTCTGAAATCCAGGCTTTCATTATTTAGCTGGATAATTTGCCTTTCTGGGCAATGCAACCTGTGGCCTTCAAGTTCAGCCTGGGCAGGTCTAGGGAAAAGTATTGAGGGAAGGCATATTGAATACTTAAGGTGCCTGGTCCTGCTTTTGATTCCTTCTAGGGACGACCTCAGTAAGTTGATTTACTGCACCATGTGCATTAAGGAGAGCCTGCGTCTTTACCCTCCGGTCCCCGGGGTAGCCCGGCAGCTCAGCAAACCCATCACATTTTACGACGGACGGACTTTACCCGAAGGTCTGGACACCCTGTTTCCTCTGATCCTTAATGGCGGGGTCCTGCTCCCAGCTGCACTGGCCCAACTCCCATTGACTGCAGCGAGAGCTGCATCTGAACAATGGAGAGACGAATTTGTTTCCAAAATTTGTCTACAAATATGAACTAGAAGGCTGCAGGTCCCATAGCCTGGTTGTTGGGCGCTGTAGAGGACCAGTAGTACTAAACAGACTGAACTAAAAACCTGGAGTGAAGCAGCAACTCCGTTGTGTGTCCAGGGGTAGAGTGCAGGTTGTAAAGCAAGAGATTGGGAGCAGCTCGGTGTAATGCTGTTTCTCATTGAAGTCAGTGGCAGAACTTCTGTTGACTTCAGTAGACGATTCATCCATAGACAATTTCATCCATAGACTTTAAGGCCTGTGTTTCTAGACAGACTCCCTATATAAGGCAGGGTACAGAAGATCATCAGTTCCTGCATGGGTGAACTTGTCTCCTCTTTGTTTGCTTTGCAGGCTTTTTGGTAGCCATAAGCATCTATCTCATTCACAGAAATCCCAGCGTATGGAAAGATCCACTGGTATGGTTTCTTTTAACCTTACACTCATCTCTGATTTGCAAGCAGTGTGTTCCCAAACCCTTCCTGAATATTCCCAGAGCTAAGAAAGCACCATCAGTGGCTGAATAGAAGCCTTTATTTACAGACGTCCGTTGTCCCGTGACTTTTCCGTGTTGGCCTTCCATGGCTCGGAAGGGTGCACCGATGTGGGATCCATGCTCCATGACACAAGAACACCTCAGGCCTAGGACATTTTAATTGTGGCTGTGTCAACCTCTGGCTGTCTCCCATGGACAAGGCAGGTCATCCATGGCTTAATTGAAATCAGTAGGTATCTTTCGACTGATTTCAACGAGCTTTGAGATAATCTCTTGGCTAGTGATGAAGGACACAGCATTGAAAGCATCAAAGGGATTTCAGAGCTCTATCTACCTTCTCTGTGATGATTAGGTACTGTAGGAAAAAGCCTATACTCCGGTTAAATAGCGATACTAGTTATCTGTAGTCTCTTTTCTGTGAGACCCTCCTAATAACAATATAAATAATACTAGAGCTCTATGCCATCTAAAACAGGAGATACCCGACTTGAAAAATGGAGGCCGTCTTGGTGTATTTTTAGCTTATCCAAATATAATAGGACCTCATGAGATACTATTACCTTACTTATCTCGTAAGACATTCAAGGGCTTGTTTGTCTCACATCCTCAGATAAAATGTTTCAGTGATGTGCAAGACATTATTATTATGACATGCTGTAGGGGCATGTCCATTAAGGGATGACGCACTTGAGTTTAACAAAGAAAACACCACCAGATACTAATAGAGCCAAGCTTCTTTAACTGCTTTATTTTGTGCCATAAACCAGTTTGAAATCTCGGGCAAGCAAATCTTTCTGGAAAACTCTCTCACACTGTGCTGATGTCTGAGATCAGTGGCTTAGCTGTAAAATCCATTGATGCCAATATGGGGCTATAATTTACAAAGGAAGAAGATTAAAGGCAGGTGCCAAACCAAGCAATGGCTTAGATTTTCAGAAGTGGCTACTGATTTTGAGTGCTTCCAAGTTTAGGAGTATCCTACTGGAAACACCGTAAAAAGACCTGACTTTTAAAGAGGGTCGAAGCAGTCACAGCACTCAGGCAACCCCCCACTTCCAGAAACACCAGTATAGACCTACTAGGGGAAAATTTGCTCAGTTAACTGACTCTAACAAATATATTAAGACATAGAGCAAACTTTCTTCCTTCTTGCAACAGCCTCCTGCCACAAAAAAACCAACCACAAATCTAGCAATGATGCAGCGTCCTTTAAAGAGCGTGGACAGGTCTCACGTGACAAAAACCCCACATGTATGAGAACGTCTAGCAGCGCCATTTAGTTATTCTGGCCCTAGCAGTATGAACAGAGGCCTGGATATTGTGGGGTGATCATTTTTATTGGACCAACTGTATCGTTTGGAGAGATCTCAGGCACAGGGTATCCCTATCTCAACTAGATGGTTAGTCCAATAAAAGAGGTCACCCCTAAAAAATCCTTGTCTCTTGAGTATATTCTAGGTCATCACAGCTACATCAGTCTAACAACACAGGTTCCTGGTAAGAGATGGTTTGATAAAGAGTGTAATACTGGGTCAGTCCTCAACTGCAGTAAAGTCTTGCACTTCTATGAAGCCACTGGAGCAATGCCAGTGTCTGCTAGTTGATCTGCCCTAGTACATTGGCTGAGCGGTGTTGCAGTCATGATTCTTCCATTTAGAGGTGTGTGAAAGTCAATATATTCATTTGGAGAAATACTGTTGAACTCCCCTCCCCCTTTCTTTTTTGATCATAATTTTCATTTCAGAACTATGTTAGGGTCACTTGGTGGGTATTCGGGTCCTTCTCAAAACAGACATAGACCTTTAGACCAGAAAGAACCATTTTCATCCTATAGTGCGACCTCCTGCATAATATATTAGAAAACCTGCCAAGCTATTCCAGTGTTACTTCAGTCATTCTTTTTGGGCTGTGCCAAACCTTGGGGGTTTTCAAGACCTGGGTAGACCAAGCGTTGTCTGGGATGATGTAGTTGGGGCTGGTCCTGCTTGGAGCAGGGGGCTGGACTAGATGTGACCTCCTGAGCTCCCTTCCCACCCTCGTTTTCTATGATTCTGTGATTTTCAAAAGGCAAGCAATCTTGATTTCAAAACCCAACCTTGACTCCCCCAAGGTCAGTTTTTCCAAGAGTTAAATTACCATCGCTATTAAAAATTGGTGCCTTTTGTCTAGTCTTGATTTGTTTAACTTCAACCGGCATCCCCTGAAATCCCGTCAGTTGTCTCAGAAGCAAAAATTTGAGGAGCCAAAATGACTCGTCAGGTCTGAAAATCCTGGCCAGTCGCTCTGTAATGTCAATGACCACTAGGTTCTGGTTTTTCTTATTATGAACCCTTTCGTTCTAGGTGTTTGATCCGTCAAGGTTTTCTTCAGAGGAAATCTCCAGTAGACATCCTTATGCCTTCCTGCCTTTTGCTGCTGGATCAAGGTAAAGTTAACCTTATAAAATTAAGAAAGAAGAAAAAAACTCCAATAAAATCCCTTTTCCCTGAATATACCTACATACAATTAGAACAGGGGTGTCAAAGATATGTCTGGGTGCAGCCCATGGGGGCTTGTGGAGGGGCCAGAAATTCAAGGGCAGGGCAAAGGGGAGGTGTGGAGCAAGGTGTTTACAATCTTAATAGTTCCTATTCATTTGATATTAACAGTGGATTAAAGGTAGGACCCAGAAGCTCCCAAACTAGGTTCATGTGGCTGCTGCCCTAAAACAGTGTACAAACACATAGCAAGAAGCACCCGAGCACTTATAATATCAGTAGGCAAAAGAGGAAGAAAATCTTATCCTCATTGTACAGATGGGCACAAGGAATTTAAATGATTTGCTTCAGGTCTTATATGGAGTCTGCTGTGTCTCTGATGCAGAAGTCTGTATGCTCTAACCTCCTCCTCCTTTGTGATCCCATCCCATCATCCCATCTCCTCTGACCCATTGCTCACTGTTCTCCTTCACCTCTGACAACTCTGCCTTTTACCCTGATATGGTGGTCTCTCCCATCTTAAAAAAACCCTCCAGCTCTTTAAGTACTGCCCCATCTCTCCTCCATCTTTGCTCTATGAATCCTATAGGTCTAGCTAATGAGAAGAGCCAAGAGGAAGAAGATGGAGGCTCTTTCTAATAGTTACCATATATGCTTCCATTTAAGTGTTGAGAAATGCACCTCCAGCAAGTTTGCAGGTGACCACAAGCTGTGGGGAGTAGTAGATATGCTGGAGGGTAGGGTTAGGATTCAGAGAGACCTTGACAAATTGGAGGAGTAGACCAAAAGAAATCTCATGAAGTTCAGTAAGGACAAGTGCAAAGTCCTGCACTTAAGATATAACAATCCCATGTACAGGTACAGGTTGGGAACTGATTGGTATGGCAGCAGAGTTGGAGAAAAGGACCTGGGGGTGACAGGACAATAAGCTGAATATGATCCAGCATTGGCCCATGTTGCCAAGAAGGCAAATGGCATCCTGGGCTGCGTTGGTACGAGTGTTGCCAGCACATCAAAGGAAGTGTTTATCTCCCTCTGTTAGCACTGGTGAGGCCACATCTGGAGTCCTGTGTCCAGTTTTGGCCCCCTACTACAGAAAGAATGTGGACACATTGGAGAGAGTCCAGTGGAGGGCAATGAAAATGGTTGTGGGGCTGGGGGACAGGACTGGTGAGGCGAGGTTGAGGGAACTGGGCTGATTTAGTCTGGAGAAGAGAAGGCTCAGGGGCATTGAATAGCAGCCTTCACCTCCCTGAAGAGGACGGAGCTGGACTGTTCTCAGTGGGGGCAGATGACAGAACAAGGAACAATGGGCTCCAGTTGAAACAAGGGAAGTTTAGGTTGGATATTAGGAAAAACGTCATCACTAGGAAGGTGGTAAAACACTGGTACAGGCTACCCAGACAGGTTGTGGACTCTTTATCCTTGCAAGTTTTTAACACCCAGGTAGACAAAGCCTTGGCTGGGATGGTGTAGTTGGGGCTGGTCCTGCTTGGAGCAGGGGGTTGGACTAGATGTGACCTCTTGCAGCCCCTTCCCACCCTAACTTTCTATAATTCTGTGATTCTATGAAATGCTGCCAGAGCTAGTAGTTTTAGGGCACATCCCCGCAGCCCAAAGCAGTACCATACTCAGCACTGACACAACTTCCAGTTTGGGAACTAGCCTCTGTGGAGTGAGTGCATAGCTTTTCCTTGCAAGTGCCAGACATACCTTTAAAGATTCTAGCTCTCTCTCAGGCTGACCACAAAAATCAATGTGAATCAGAAAGGGGTAGGCGTGGACAACCAGAATGAGCACCACCCAAACACAGGAGGTCTGGCTTGCTAGGAGAATGAAGTTATTTCTCCTTTGTTCCTGAAACTGAAGAGGAAAGCTGATCTAATGTCTACCTGGGGAGACTTGCTGGCAATAAGGGTGCAAACACATGCCACGTTTCTACTGATGGTACTTGTATTCGTGTGCAAACCAATGTGTGTTATAGAGCGGACAGATCACTCGCTCTGGAGGTAGCTCCCTGCAATTCATCTCCTCACCACTAGGTGGGGCAGAAGATCTAGTAACCTGTTTGCATTGATCAAACAGCTGCTCCAGGACAAAACTGACTAGCCCTGTGTGCACATACTATTAATTTACTAACCATCGTTAGTCCTAAGTATCCGAAGAATAGCTTTATTCCAAAATGGAGTAACTTTCCACATTACGGGGCTGTACATCATGTGTCTGCTCCACATTTATGCTGATATCAAGGTGTTTGTGTGTCCTGTATCCATACCTTATATTATACCACTATAGTTACATTGATATAATTCCATTTTAAGCACCCTTGTTCTTAAACCAGTCCCGAAGGAATAAGCCATACCAGAAGACAACACTCTTACTCTGAAATAAGAGCATCCATACAGGTACTGGTGTAAGACAGGAAGGATTTGGGTTTGTGCTTCCAAAAAAAAAAAGGGAAAAAGCAAAAAGAAATAATAATGCCATGGGCCACATCTACACGAGACACTGCCTGCACAGTTGTTACTGCACTGTCATTTAGTACTTGCATAACCAAGTACTAAATGACTGCACAGTAACGAATGTTACTACGCAATAGCATCCTGGCATGGCTTCTGGGTGATGCCGATTGTGTAGTAGCTCATTACTATTGCACAGTAGCACCATGTCATGGTTCATGCCTTGCAACACTGTTGTGCAATACTAACAAGCTACTGCACAGTAGTAATGAGTTCCTGTGCAGTAAGCATCTCGTGTCAATGTGGCTATGGAGCTGTAAGCATACAAACCAGGCTGGTCAAGCGTCTCTCTCCAGGTTGTGGATGAAGTAGACACCTTGCTTTCTCAGGTGGCATATTGCCAGCAGCTTCAAGCCTTACAGAGGTACCAAAGCTGCTTGATAAACCTTATGGCAAAGAATCAGTGTCACTGCTCCAATGTCTTGAATGGAGTGACACTTAACATTTACAATATGAAGAGAACTCCTTTCATTTTAACCACTATATATGACATGCTTAGATTGCATAAATGTAGAGATATATACATTTTAATGGCCAAAGGAAATGTCACAGCCTAAAGAACCTCACTCACAGCATCAACCCCTTAGTTTCTAAGCTATACTATATCAGGAGGCATAATCTGATGGTCCTAGAAGAGGGCACCAACTGATGAGATGCAAGGAAATCACCCTCATTCTCTAATCAGTTTGAGGAAAAAAAATTAGTAAATGGGTGTGTCTAGCACTCAGAAAACACCTGTGAAGGTAAGGGTGCAGAATGGGTGCGTCTACATGAGACACATTAATGCGCATTAGCCTTATTTAATGAACATTATGGGTGCATGTTGACACATGTGTGCCCTTAATGCGCATTTAAAATGGCAAAATTAGAGTAATCGTGCCTAAACTTGACACCTGCAAATGCAGGTATTAAATATAGACATGATTAGTCAAAGCACATTAACACACGTGTAGATGCAACCTGGCACTAACTTTAGTGGCAGGTCTGCCCAGCCACTAGGGGTACATGGCAGGGCTGCAGGGACTTGGCATTAACTTTAATGCCAAGTCCCTGTACGTGTAGACACCTGTAAAAAATAACATAATGCACATTAGCTTAATGCAAATTAAATTTAGTTGCGAGGATGAGAAGCCAAACACTGATCAGAAATGGGACAGAGGGATAAAAAAAAAATTACTGGAGACTCTGGAACTTTCTAGAGTGGCTTCAGAGGGCACATGTGAGCTAGAGAAAGTGGGTTAATTCTGGAAATGGGTTCAATATCTTCACACAGGCACTGCATGAGTCTCCTTTACCGGAACCATTTGGTAGCATGGTAATTGTGTTTGGCAGAGTATCAAAGCAAAGTGCAATCAAAGGTTCTCCTCAGGCTATAAACTCTTGAAGAAGGCAAGTTTTCCAACTCTTGAAGAAGGCAAGTTTTCCAATGCATACAATTGGTGCCAGGAGAGATTCTAAATCCTCATCATGCATCTCTCTCTCTCTTCCCAGGAACTGCATTGGGCAGCAGTTTGCCATGAATGAGCTGAAAGTAGCACTGGCCCTGACCCTGCAGCGCTATGAATTCTCACCAGATCCAGAAAATCCTCCCATTAAAGTACCTCGGATCACCCTTCGTTCCAAGAATGGGATTCACCTATACTTGAAGAAAGTCCTGTGATGCTGAAACAGCACTGATTTCAATGAAGGAAGGGATTGAACCAAAGGGATAATGTGTTATCAGTTTATCAGACTAAGAGGGAGCGTCTACATGTGCATTTAAACGTGATTAAATTTAATGTACATTAAGCTAATGTGCATTAAGTGATTTTTTTGCAGGTGTCTGCATGTGCAGAGGCTTGGCACTGAAGGTAATGCCAAGTCCCTGCAGCCCTGCCATGTGCCCCAGTGGCTGGGCAGACCTGACACTAAAGTTAGTGCCGGGTTGCATCTACATGTGCGTTAATGCATTTGCAAGTATCAAATTTAGGCACGATTAGCATAATTTCGCCATTTTTAATGCACATTAAGGGTGCGCACGTGTAGACACGCACCCGTAATGTGTGTTAAATTAGGCTAATGTGCATTAACATGTCTCCTGTAGCATCTTGGCCCAAGGACATAGACTTCCCTTCTGCCACCAGTGGAAGGGCCCATGTGTCATACCTTGCTGGTTTGATAGGAGGATTGGATCTTATTATACCATGTACATCTACTCTGCATAGGAAATGCACCCTTCTCCCAACACTGACCCTTCCTCTGGTTTTCTGCACCAGGAGTCCACTCCAGTGCCCCACATGTCTTCCTGTTGACTGCAGTGGGCACAAGAATGAACTGCAGGTTTCAGCTTCTCATATCCCAGCCAGTTTCTCACCTTGCAATGCTCTCTTTCCTCACATCTCCATTCTCATGGGCTCATCCTGTCCTCCTGTGCCTTTCCCCTCATCACCCTACTGCACCCTTCTTCCACCCTCCAGGCCTTTTGCATTGCCTGGCCCATGCTTCCTTCTCTTTCAAAGCCCTGCTTACACTGTATTTCTTATGTGAGGACTTCGAGAACAGCTCAACATCTCTCTTTCTTTCCCTCTCTCTCAATTTTTTAAAAGCCTTGATTACAGTTGGGCTGTTGACCTATGGTCAAGTCACAGGGCACTGCCTTAGGTGATTTTCTGGGTTAATTAAAATAATGACTAAATAAAAGTAGCCTTGTTTTTTTCTCATTTAAGCTAATGGCTAAGCATAGCAGAAATGCTAGAGAAGACACATACACATAAACCTCAAGTCACCCTGGCAGATCCTCAGTTAGAGTAAATTAGCATAACTCTAATTGTTTTGCAACGTAAGGTGACTGAAGTCCAATTGCAACATATACAAGTTCCTTGCCTAGCCTGAAATGGCATCCTTGTGGACACATGAACAAGCAGCTGGCACCTGTCAGTCATCCTGTCGGCTCTCACCCATCTCCTGTTCTGTCCCTTGACTGCCCCCCAGGCAAAGTAAGAGCTCGCTAACAAAGTCTGAGCTCTCAGCCCAAAGTCAAAACACGGAAGGTGAACGATTTGTGAGAAGAAGCATGGTTTTGACCTTGGCATGGTTTTGGGCGGGGGAGAAACACCTGCTCATGAGGTCAAGGTGACTCTGGACAGTGGGGGTGGCTCAGAGGGTACATGGATGTGTGTTCCAAGGTCTCTCTGTGTCACCCCCTCTCTGCCCCAGCAGCGTCACCCCTGCTGTCCCCTGTCCCCAGAGCAGACTCTGCATGTCTGCAAAGCCCCCATGGAAGGGACTCGCGTCTGGGATACAGTTAATCACTTGTCACAGCAGTCAGAGTGCCACTGCCCCCCCATGCCCATGTTTCCCTTTGGGGGGCTGCTGCATCCTCTTACTTCTCTAGGGTGGCACCACTGGAGCAGAACCCCATGCCCAGGGCTTTGCAACCAGCCATGCTTAGTTTCCACCCTCCCTGAGCCCTGAGGCCCCTGGGTCGGGCGCCACACCCTGCCCTGGCCCGTCTGCCCCGGGTGCTGTCAGGGGGCAGCGCACGAGTTGCAGGGAAGTGGCACAAACACCACGGATCCCAGCAGGAGACAGTGAGCAGGTCACAGCACCGAGCTTGCACGCTGCTATGAGCTGCGCGCCCAGACGTGCATCTCATCCGATACCCGACAAACGAGATTAAACTGCAACTCTCCCAGCTGTAGTAACGCCACCTTTATTTTGGTACCCAAAAGGGCAGGCCCGCTGAAGCAGGACCTCAACAAATTAGTTGAGAACTCATTGCTGCTACCTTTAGCCAAAGGTGAAAGATTTATATAAACTGAAGAAAAGCCAAAGCCTGCTCCCTGCCCCGGGGAGATGCGGCCCACTCTTAGCCAAGACATAGTGAGGCCTCTTCCCCCAAATACTAACCACCGCCCTCTGCCATGACCTGATTCTCCCTCACATCTCTCCCCTGCGATTTTCAGGGGAGGCTGCCTACCTGCGTAATTCATAAGTCTGGGGGAGAAGTCTGGAGAAGGGCCAATTCTGCAAGATTTTCTGAGATTTAACTTGAAGGAAGCAGGAGGAATGGGGCATGGGAGGTGCAGAGTGGAGCTGGTGGGTTTGGGGGTGGTGGTTGAGCAGGGCTGGTCTGGGTCTTTGGTTTGCTCATTCCCCAACTTCTGAAAGACCAAAACAGCCCATGAGCCCTGAGGTGCATGTAACCCCTCCACCCCGTCCCCCTCGGCCCTGCAAAAGGACCAGTCCCAGAGACACTCTGGAGTAGTGATAGGCATTTACCATAAAGAGCTGGAACAGATGCTCTCCTATCACTTTCTGCACATGCTTCTCCGCAACGGGAAATGTCTGGACAAAATGCTGCAACAGAAGAGCCATGGTAAGTGAATGTATGGGGGAGATGGGCCATCGTCTGGCTCCACTCAAAGCCAGTCCCTTCACAGCGTGACAACGCACCCCAGGACAAGAGGAACAAGGGGCTTTCGGAGCTATCTTTTACTGGATCACCCATAACTGTCGGGTAATTCGTTCATGATTCGTAGACAGATGTGGGAGTGGGGAAGGACAGACTCTTGCCGACGCACCAACGGCACGGAAGACAGCGGCTTTGTTACATATCTGAATCGGGGTCCTTTTGGCATCTCTGCTGCAGAGCGAGAGCAAGGTCTCCTGCCTTGCTGGGCAAGCAGTGGCCCCGCTCCCTGCCAGCCCTGGGAAAGCTTTGGCCGTTCCAGCTGCTCCCGCTGCAAAGGACATCCCCCCCATTACAGACCCTTCCCGCACAGGAGATGCTCACTCACCATCAGAGTGATGCTGGCCTGTCGCTGGCAGATGGCATGATCCTGGTTTCCCAGGGCACACATGAGGCCATGCACCACTCTCAGCTGGACCAGTTCTTCGGCCAGGTCGGTCAAGCTCTTGGCTAGGACGTTGTGAGGAAGCCAGCCCCAAAGCCCCTCCATGTGGAAGCTTGCTGGGGGGTGGCATGAAAGAGCTGCCTCTAGCAGAGGCTGTGTGGGCACTTGCTGCCCAGGCCTTGTGGCATCTGGCTTTGCATCCCCTCCCATCAGTATGTATCATTCCTTGCTTGTTCCCAAGAGCTCAGCTATCCCCTTGGCTTCCCAGCAATCTGGCCTGGATAATTAAGAATGTGCTACAGCTGGACTCGATGATCTTCTGAGGTCCCTTCCAGCCCTAATGTCTATGAAATCTATGAAATATGCCACTAAGACCTAGCATTGCCTTCCTGTCTGGGGCATCAGGTCTTACAGGCAGCCACGTCACCACCAGTCCCCCAGAAGAGCCCACCTCGGCATCTCAATGTGGTCTGCTGTGCTCCTGTTGTGTGTCACTCTGACGTCTCTTACCTGATGGCCTTTGCTGCACCAGCCTGTTGTCTGTACACCAGCAAAGACTCAGTGAGGTCAAATGTGGCAGGATCTGCACGAGAGAACATTTGATAGAGTGGAAACTATGGCTGGAAGCACAAATCTGCCACTGAGTGTGAGCAGTACTCTGGGGAATGAGACCAGCAGCACCTGGGGCAAGGGGATACGTGGGCTTAAAGCAAGGTGCCTAAAGAAATCTTGATAGGAATGTACTTGAGAACCTCACCCTGATGTATCTATGTGCATCTACACATGCACATTTACTGCACAGTAACCGAAATTACTGCACAGTCTAGGCACGTATCTACATGTGCATGCCCACACTGCGCGGTAAATATGGCAACTTATGCCAGCTTGAGCATAAATTTGAAACCTGCATCATGTTGGTATGAAATCTATGACCAGTTAGTTACTGTGGAGTAACACACATGTAGATGCTTTACCATGCAGTAACACTGGGTGTGGGCTGATTTGGGATTAACTTTACTCCCAAGTCAGTCCACGCACAGTGTTAATGTGTTGTAATGCCTGCATGTGTAGATGCCAGCCTATACCCCCTGTCTGAGCAGTAAATTTTAGCCAGTGTAAATGTATGTGTAGACATGCCCATGGACTCTGTCCGGCACCTCTGTCTGATGAGCAAAAGCAAAAGCAAGACTTGTTTGCAAGGTAACTGGTGCATTTCTCAGTATAAAGGTGGGTGTTATCTGCTACATTGGTAAAATGAAAATGGATATGTCCCAAGCATTCTCTCTCCCAACAACCCACTGGTTCCCCGAGTGAAGGTTTTGGGGTAACACAATGGCTGCTACATGCTGGTCCAGCCCTTGTAGGAGCTGTCTACAGACAGGGAGAACCAAGATCTTCCCTGAGCCACCAAGAGCAGAGGCCCATTCAGACGTCGGGTAGCTCTGCAAGGACAGGGGAAGGAGGGGGCCAGTAGCTTGCCAAGGGCTCAGCCTCAGGCTGAACCTGTCTTAAAGCCTGTGTGTCTGCAGGTCACAGCTGCCCCAGACAGCGGAGCTGAGGGAAGCTGGTGGAGACACAACCAGTCTAACTGGGGACTCTTCAGCCTGATATTTGATTTGCATCAAAACAGGCGTGGGACAGTCATATACATGAGGTTTAAATGGCAATTCACTGCAATAAGCTGGGATGGTCTGGAGCAGGGGATGCTCTGGGGGTACTTAGTGCAGGCAATGACTTTGCCTGTCTGTAGGGTTGAGCTCGGTGTGAGACACGGCACTCAAACCAAATCGAGCCACTTGTCTGTGGGTGCATCTACCTGTGCTATTAATGCTACATTGGCTTACCACACTGTAAAATACTGTGCAGTAACACTTCTCTGGGAGCACGTCTATATGTGCACCCAGATGGGAGCAAATCTGCTCCCAATGGGAGCAACCTGACCCGAGGCTGCTCC